TAATAATAATAATATTAATAATAATATTGTGCGATCTTAACTGAAGTACATGGTGACAGTAGCAAAATTGAAGGGGAGGCGGGGCAAAGGGGGAATGAGAGACATGATGTTGGACAGTTTGACATCATGTGTTGATTGAAAGTACACGAGACAGAAGGTTGTGGACAGACTTGACTATCAACGCCACAAGGTGTGGGCTTTGAGAAGAAGCATCTTAACAATGGAGGCTGGCTGCAGTGCATATGTGCATCCGTGGCTGGCTCTGGGAATATCCTCTGGACCTGTTTTTGTTTGTTTGTTTTAGTATCCAGAAGCCATGAGTTGTTAACCCTTAGGCTCGGTATTATGGATATCGCAACCTTTCGGCCTTGATTCCATTGTAAATACCGTAAATCTGGGAGAAAATGTGGCTTTTATGCCTACCCCTGGAATGAACCCGGACCACAAGAAGTTCGTCACCCGCTCACCGCGCAATCCAGTTTATCCAACTACGCTAGAGAGCCGGGCTGGACCTGTTCTAAGGTGCCAGTGTAGGAAAGCACAAGTAATGACTTCTTCACCACCCTCTTTACTTCACGCTCGCCTGTGGATTTGAAGGTCGTGGGTTCAGGTTCTGGGGGAGCAGAATTTTTTCTCCCAGGTCGACCCAGCCTTAAATTGGTACCAGCAGAGTACTGGGAAGTAAAGGCAGCCGGTGTGATGTTGACTACATCACCCATAGAGTTTCACTTAGTCTAGCAATCAATCTATGCACAATATGCCTGAAGGCATCGAAAACGGTCCTTTACTTCTCTTGTTCTGCCCTCTTCACATAAAAAAAGTGGGAAAGGGGGGAAAAAAAGGGAGGGGGGGGGGGGTGACGAACAATTTGGTGACGTAGGTCTCCAATGTTTCAGACAGGGTAGAGGAACTAGGGATCACATCTTTAATATGAGAATAATTTTTGAAAAATGCAGAGAATACAACGTAGATCGCCATGCTTGTTTTAATGATTATAGCAAGGCATTTGATTGTGTCCAACACCACAAACTGTGGACTATTATGAAAAGTGTGGGGTTTCCAGCGCATTTAGTGCATTTAATTGAAAATCTTTATCATGAAAAACAAGCAGCCATCAGAGCAGCTGTTGAGACATCAGATTGGTTCGAGGTGCAAAAGGGGGTGAGGCAGGGGTGCATTCTCTCACCATACCTATTCAATATATACACAGAAAATATAATGAGAAATGTAAAAAATGACCAGACTTGTGAAAGTTATGATCCGTTTAAAATTGGTGGCAACCCTATTCCGAAACTCTGCTATGCAGATGACAGTCCTCCTTTCGAACAGCGTAAAGGAAATAAAAATTGTAATATTGTCTGTCCAAAAGCACAGTGAAGATAAAAATCTGTTCTTGAAGTTAAAGAAAAGGAAAATAATGTCCACAGATAAAACTGGCTATCACCCAAAAATAACAATAAAAGATGAAGAAATTGAAAATGTCACAAACTTTGAATATCTAGGCTCTATAATAAACAACAGTGGAGACTGTTCGACATAAATTAAAAGGAGGATGGTCATACCAATGTAAAGACTGAACAGCCTTAAAAGTCTATGGTTAAGCACCAGCAAGGGGATACAAATTAAAATTTTGAGAGCATGCATCTTCCCTGTGGCTACACACGGATGTGAGTCGTGGACTATCTCTCAGTACCAAAGAAAGAGAATAGGGGCTTTTGAGCTGAAATGCTATAGAAAGATTCTCAGAATATCCTGGACAAAGAAGATGAGAAATATTGACATCTTAAAAAATCTTAACATCAAGGAAGATTGGCTAATAAACAGTATCCTTTCTCGAAAGCTGAAATATTTTGGTCACATCAAGCGCCACGACAGATTGGAAAAAATTATAGCAAAAGGGATGGTACCAGGAAGATGGGCACAGGATATAAGTGACTCCTTGAGTGCGAAAGTGCAAGAGGCGGGAGAACTGAAGAGAGACCGAGTCTTTTTCAGTCAGACTGTGATGAAAGTGACGTTATGCAAAAAACTACATGATGATGATGATGAAGTCTACAAACTTGTTTATTCAACAGGAGGTGTTTCCGATTCATTAAAACACATATGTTTCCCTTAGTGTATTCCGTAATGTAATAATTCATATTATAACTAATACCATGTTTCCCTGAAAATAAGGCTGAGTTTTATTTTAATTTTTGCTCCAAAAGACGCCTTGGAGTGATACTTATTATTATGAAATCCGTTCTTGTACTTACTGATCTTAACTTGTGTTTACAAGGGTGAGGCTTATATTATGAGAATCCTGAAAAATCATACTAGGGCTTATTTTTCGAGGAAACATGGTGGGAAAAAGTTCACATAAATAAACAGAGGGGAGCCCTTGAGGCCACAAACAGGTTCGATTCCTGTCATGGTAACTATAGCTGTATAGTGTCCTTATATCTTTCTACATCTCTCTATGAGTGCCAATCAATATACTGTATGGGAAAGAGTTATATGTTGTTTAAAAGAAAGTTGACAAGACCTGCTGAGTACTGCATTCACGGCGCATTAGTCAGTAAGCTATATGCAACACTTCGAGTCTTCAAAACAATATTTGGTTATGCTTCTGACATACTGTCATCTCAACATCAGAGTACTTTCACACAGAACATGTCATTCATAATTTAACTAAGTTCTTCACAACTAAGGCTAGGTGTAATAGATCATAAACCACGTCTATCTCTCGCTCTGAAAGTACAGCCTGACAAACTGCTTCGCTCTTCTCACACTCTGAGATACAGCGTGACAAACTGCTATATTTTTCTATATCTTATTTTGAGATATAGCCTCAGAGACGGCTATGCTTCTCTCTCATCATGGAGATTGGTCCTGACAGACTGCTGTGCTTTTCTATCTCTCATCATGAAGACTGGGTCTGACAAACCCTGTGCTTTTCTATCTCTCATCATGGAGACTGGGTCTGACAGAACCCTGTGCTTTTCTATCTCTCATCATGGAGACTGGGTCTAACAAACCCTGTGCTTTTCTATCTCTCATCATGAAGACTGGGTCTGACAAACCCTGTGCTTTTCTATCTCTCATCATGAAGACTGGGTTTGACAAACCCTGTGTTTTTCTCTCATCATGGAGACTGGGTCTGACAAACCCTGTATTTTTCTATCTCTCATCATGGAGACTGGGTCTGACAAACCCTTTGCTTTTCTATCTCTCATCATGGAGACGGCCTGACAGACCCCTGTGCTTTTCTCTCTCTCATCATGGAGACTGGGTCTGACAAAACCCTGCGTCTTTCCATCTCTCATCATGGAGACCTGGCCTGACAGAACCCTGTGCTTTTCTATCTCTCATCATGGAGACTGTGTCTGACAAACTCTGTGCTTTTCTATCTCTCATCATTAAGACGGCCTGACAGAACCTGTGCTTTTCTATCTGTCATTCATGAAACTTGGCCTGACAGACCCCTGTGCTTTTCTCTTATTTCAGAGATATAACCTGATATACCCCTGTGCTTATCTCTTTCTGGAGGTTTAACCAGATAGACCACTCTGCTTTTCGATAATTCAGGAGATTTATTAAACATGAGACAGAGAAGGACAACAAGAGAATATTCTCCACAGCATGTTGTCATGTCATGATCAGGCATCAGCACACATAATGATACATGCTATTTGAGATCACAAGCTATGGAGATGCAAGATCTCCCCCACACAATTACTCAAGGCATCTGATGTTAAAGATGATGATGATGACGACGATATAATGAAGATTCTAGACAATAGCTAGCCAACAGCAATACAACTAAAGTCAAGCAAAAACCAAGCCAGTTCAGGATACTTACTGCTGCTACTTTTGCGTTCAACCTCCGCCATGAACTGAGCTGAGTTGAGGTCCTGCAAGAGCTGATCAAGCTCCGATAAGTTGCTGCTAAGGGCTGACATTCTCTCCCCTCTGTCCCTAGCCCGGGGGTTACTTTGTGCAACAACTCGGTCACTGTTGTTTGAGGATGTGGAAGGAGTTGACTCTCTCACTTGGAATATCTGTGGTTCGTAAACTGGGTGCTGCAATACGTAACAAATAGTTCACAGTAGCACTCATAGAAATAATACTGAGACAAGAGGGCACACTGGACAACATACAAATCAAAAGCTATAGTAAATATACTAAGACTCGAACATGTCATCTCCAAGTTATTACAGCACCTCACAGCAAAAATCTATGTTAATAAAAATGTTAATTTTCCGAGTTTGTTAATTCTAAACTCGGAAACTACTGAACCGATTGCTTTCAAAATTTCACACAACATTGCCTCTGATTCAAAGTGTGATTTTTTGTCATAAAATCGCGCAAACCACGAACGACATAGCTCCAGCAAAGGTCAAATCATTATTTGTTTCATTGCCCGCCCGGATTTGTTTTTAGTTGATTGGCCGCCGTCGACTGCTGAGCAGTGCTGCCAATAGATGCCTTTTCCCCTAGGATCAATCTCCGATATTTCTTTACCGATCGCTTTCAAATTTTCACACAACGTTGCCTTAGACTCCACACGTGTTTGTATGTATGAGTTTTGCACAAACCACGAACGACGTAGCTCCAGCAACGATCATTTCACTAGTTATTTTTGATAATTACTTCAAATTATGATAAACTCGACCCTCCTCCTATCTCTGCTTCTTTCTATGTTTACAAATTTATATGTGTAAATGTGTTTATCACAGAAAAAAGGGGTCAGGCTGAAAGGTGTATATCTCACAGCTTACATGTAAACAACAATACAATGTACCAACTGCCTAACCAAGGTTGAGCAAGAAGGAAGAAGTATGTGAGGAAACAAATTATACAGATACTGTTTATATCCTCATTATTATAATATAGGATTAACATAGGTAGAGCTGTGAACATGAAATAAACTCATAAACATAAAAGGTGTTCAGTCAAGGTGATTAAAAAGAAAACATGTTTATAAACATACAACGACGACAACCTGACCAATTAAATACCTCAGTCTCCTTAGAAAAAACAATGTTGTCTAGGATGTCAGAAGATGGTGGTGGAGGCAGTGGAGGCGGTGTGGAACTCCTAGAATTATCGCTGCTGGAATAATAACTTTCTCTGGAGACGTTCACAACAGTTTGCGAATATCCTTTATCAGAAAAGTTGCCAGTTCCGTTCTTTATTGCAGCTTGACTCTGGCTGTCTTGGGAATAATCCGAGTAGGCAGGTACTTCTGATGCTGGACTGTGATCTACTCTCTGTTGCAACGCGTAGAGGCCCTCTGGTTCTATGCTGAAGTAGGTGTTGCTACTGACCAGCTGGTTGGTGCTTTCACTGTCTGCAACAGACTGTTGATAGGGCTGGTATGGAAGAATGGGAAGGCAATGCTTCTTGTGAGGTTGTGGCTGGTCCCACTGGTGCTGTGGGTGTTGGTCCCACTGGTGCTGTGGGTGTTGGTCCCACTGGTGCTGTGGGTGTTGGTCCCACTGGTGCTGTGGGTGTTGGTCCCACTGGTGCTGTGGGTGTTGGTCCCACTGGTGCTGAGGCGGTGGCTGGTCCCAGTGATGTTGTTGTTGCTGGTCCCACTGACTATGCTGCTGCTGCTGTTGTGGGTGTGAAGGTAAGCGTTGCTGCTGCTCCCCTTGTCTGTTTTGGTTGGATGAAATATGAGCAGTGGTGTTCTGGAGATCAGCTAGAAGTGCATCTGAAAATATAATACTACATTTATATACAGGCACAAAGGAATTTACGTATATCAGAAAAGCAATGAAGACTGTGCTTCGATTCTGGCGAACAAAGAACAGACCAACTGCCCCTTAACAAGCATGTCGTAGGAGGCGACTAATTAGGGATGTTTACTTCGAGGTCGAAAGGAAATTATCTGAAACGCAAGCAACCAACAGTCTGCATACCCAAAAAAATCTGTAAAATGAATGTGCACGCAAAATTCAATTTCTGGAATAAGACTTAAGTCTAGAAGTGGACAAACAAACCAGGACTTACTACTGTCAAAGATTATAGCCGGTAAACGTGAAAAAGAAGGAGAAGAAAAAGATGATGATGCTTCTGATGATGATGAAGAAAAAGAAGAATGAGAAAAAGGAGGAGAAGACGAAGAAGAAAAAGAAGGAAGCAACGACCTAGAAACAAATTCAACTCAACAGAATACCGGGAATCTAAATGTTACACTCGAATGCAGTTTTTCCCAATAAAAAGCAAACATCGAAACACAATCGAACTTTGAAAAAAAAAAAACTTACTTAAAAAAAAACAGTATATCCAAAAGCAGTATAAATGATGTTCCAACCTAACAAAAATAAATGGTTGTTTTATAGAATTATAAAACTCTACAGGAACAACAATGCGCATACAACAGGGGTTAAAAAATATATACCAGCACAAACGAAGAGTCAGTAAAAAACTTGTAGTTGAAGATAAACACTTGTTGCTTTGACAGACGTAAACGACATGAAGTGGCTTACTTCCTGCCAGTTGTGCGTGATAAGAAGACAATGTCGCAGAGAAGCCCGGAAGGAAATGTCATCGCTCAACGGGCACAGCTCACACCACACAACAGAACACTTCGACGGGCTGGTTGTGTAGTTCTTGGAATTTAGCGCAGTTTTTGTATCTGGTGGCGGGGAATGGGTATACTGTAAGCCCCACCTTAGCTTCGGGTCAAACACAGCCCATATCTCCCTTTCAGAACTGGAACAGCGCACTTCTGACTGCTACCCGGGGAAGTAGACAATCCACGGACACTCCAGCACCACAATGCCATAAATATCAAAACGGGTTGGTTGAGCAGTTCTTGGAATTTAGCGCAGTTTTTATTTACCGGGTTTAGGGAGGTGTTCTTCAAAAGATGATCTGCGTATCACTGATGGGCCGTGGAAATGTTCTGGGTGGGACACCAAAGATTGTGTAGCAGCTAATCAAAGAGCGCTACATATTCTTTCTTTGTGTTCACCGGCTGTGAATTCCGACGTAAAGTCATGGTTGTTCGTCCATTTGGACTTTGACTTTTACCAGGACCTGAGTTGTGCGTGTACATCCGTATTACTGAATGATATGAGTTCTTGTTCCCTGCCTCTCGGGCACTAACAGGAAAGGGGCCACATGATTCAGACACTATACCGCTGCATGGCCAGTCTTTAAAAAAAATGATGGACAAACTAGAGCGCATACAGAACGCGGCTATGCGGGTCATTCTAGGTTGCACCAGAGACACCCCAGTGGTGTGTATGCGATACATCCTTGGTTTGCCGACGGTTGCAGGTAGGCACAAGTTGATGCAGGCGAAGTCATATCTCAGGGTAGCTGCAGACACAGACCACCCTCTGCATGAAGCTCTGGGTGCAGTTAAGGGTCAGCGGCTGATAAGAGGGAGGTCATGGATGGCTCAGGCAAAACACACAAGACAGGTTTGCATCCTTGAGAACATTAGGCGAGGAGAGGAGTGGGTCAAAGTGCCACCTGAGCAGTCAGACGTGTAGAGTCATAATCACGCTGAGCCGGAAATGCAGAGACTGGCCAGCAGGTGCCACAGAGGTGGAAATTCAGCAATTAATTCAAGATAATGCTCGCTCAGAGGATTTGATCATTTACACAGACGGTTCAGTGTCAAGAGGCAAAAGAAGTGCTTGGGGCTTTTTAGCAAAAGTTAATGGTCGACGTTTGGTGCAGGAGAGCCTAGCATGTGATACCACAACATCCAGCTTAAGAATAGAGGTGGAGGCGATCACTGCAGCTTTCCGCTGGCTAGAGAACACGACACACACACACATTGTAATTGTAACTGATTGAGAAAGCATGCTAAGGAAGATCAGAACAGGTATGCTTCGTGCAGAGTGGCATGCTTCGCTGCGGAGGACACAAGTGAGGAGTATTGTCTGGATTTTTTCACCGTGTCACGCCGGTGTGTTGGGGAATGAACAGGCGGACAGACTGGCTGGCTCTGCAAAACTTAATGGAATATTGCTACATGATAGGGCAGACGTGGTTAGTGCCTTGTGGGAGAGCGTGTACAATGCGGAGGAGCAGATGGATCACCACAGTCTGGTGAGATTGATGCAGTTGGGGGTGACGAGAGGTTCTGGCAGAAGCTCAAGGCTCTGAGGAAAAGCAAGACAGACGTTTAATCAGAAAGCTACTGGCACCATTATTATCGGAACTCTTCGCTGGCTGCTGAAGATGGGGACGGAGCGCTTATGGGAATGCCCCGAGAGCTATGATGTCGGTTCTTGAATCAAATCAAATAAAATCAAAATTTTAAACAAAAATAGGAAAAACTAGGAAGAGAAGAGATGGGAAAGGGTAAGAAAGCCGTAAAGAAAAAGTCGCGGCGTCCGTGGCTGAGGCGTTGCGAGTCCGACTCGTGATCCAAAGTACCGCGATCGAAACCAACTGCTGACTGCGCGGATTGTTATCGTAGTATGGAGTGTCGCAGGTCGACCCAGCCTAAAATGGGTACCAGAATGGCTGTCCTGGGAAAGTAAAGACGACCGGTGTAATGCTGACCACATTACCCATCCAGTGTCGATCGGTCTGTAAAAATATGGGACGCTCTGCCCATACACCCGATGTGCCTAAGGCGTAATAAGGGATCTTTACTTTAAGTACAAGTCAGCTTTACAAAATCAATTGGTACCGGGAAAAGAAAGGGTGGGGGGGGGGGGGGCATTTTTTTCTTTCATGCAGACAGATTTCTTAAAGATCAAATAAATTATAAACATTGAAAATAATATACAATGAAAAGGAAGCCAAGACAGTCAAGGACATCACAGAAGCATTCGGTCAACCGGTGGTATCAAGAGTTATAATATATTCATGTTGGATTATAATAAGTAAAAGAAGAAGATTTAAATATAAATAACTTATAGATCGAGCACAGAAAGCGTGTAAACGATAAACGGCATTACTGAATACAGATGTAAGATAAGTTGGAATAATTCAGACTGGGTTTTTGATTTTTTTTTTAAATGCAAACGGTAGCTTACGAATGCCTGAAGTGATTACAAAATAACCTAACAGGATAGAGAGAGAGACAGAGAAAGAGAGAGAAACCGACAGTGAGAGAGGGAAGAGAGATTGTTACAGACAAGCAAGAGAGAGAAGGGGAGGGAGAGACAGAGAGAGAGAGGGTGAAACAAACAGAAAGCAAGAGATAATAGGATAAAGCAAGACTGAGATGTCAGTAACATCGGGAGAGAGAAGGAGGGGCAGACACAGAGAGAGGGGTTTGGAGAGGCATATCAATAGAGAGAGAGAGAGAAAGCACGAGAAAGAGAGAGTTGGAAGATGACAGTAAGAAACAGAGCGCGAGACAGAAATGGAATACACGGAAGAAGATATTAAAGTGAGAGAAAGCGGCTGGACAGAGAAGTAATTAAGACAGTGAGAGACACTGCGAGAGACAGATAAGCTGAGTGCGAGAACGCATCAAATAATTGCCTGGCAGCCTCCATCCAGTTCACCACATCCGCGGTCATTATCTGCAGTGCGGAAGACTAGACTAATGATAGCTGTCCCCCACCGCCCACCCCTTCCCACACATCTGCTCGCCCTTGCATACGGTTATCTCGAGGTAAGGTTCTGATATAACACACCAGCTGGAATAGAACAAAGGCAAATGTCAGAGGCAGTGCCATAAAACATGCAGACTAAGAACAAAATGGAAAGATAACATTAGAGAAGCTCTGCAACAGCACAAAGTGTTTATGGTCAAGGCAGCCAGAAGGGCAATAAGTAGAAGTTTAAATCTCTATCAATACACGTAGCGGTAAAAGAGGGAGAAGAAGAAGAATTCTCATAAGAGTAGAAACTACGGTAATAGGGATAAGTTCGGCATATAAGATATCAGGTAACCGCGTGATAGGAGTTTAAAGTGCCTAACCAGAGGATGGAGGACTAGAAAGAAATAGAAAACATAATACAGAAGGCCAAGATCATAGATGACAAAAATGGCCCAACTGTTAAGGCATCACAATATCAACATGCATACCAATAAAGCAGCTGATAAATGGGTTATTCGTACCAAACTTCTGCTATCCTATCAATGCCAGGCATGGACAGTCGTGGGAAAAACATCAACGCACAGATGTAACACGTGAGAGGAGATATATAAGAATGCAACAGAAAACAAACTTAAGAAGAGACCGTCACCAACGAAGAACTAAGAACAACAGTATGCAACACTCAGGTTCTGGAACAAGTCTAAGGTCCAGAGGTGGATGAACAACCAGTACTTTCCGCCGCAGTTCACAGCCGGTGATCGCCAAGAAGAAGAAGATACCAGTGTTATATCTTTTCACGATAAAGAAAAGCGTTAGTATCCTCCCTGGCCAAGAACGATGCTAGAACCTTCCCCTTCATTACAGATCAACTCACTGTACGTCGATGGTTCTATACAGAACATTCGTTTCTGAAGTTCTATCGAATATTTCTATGACACTATCCCACTGTATCACACCTTTTACTTTCAACTCCACTGTATGCTGACAACAGAGACGCAATTTGGCCTGCTCCAACACGAGAGGAAATGGACTGCATGATAGCTTTCACGAAGGCTACCGGCCTCCTGCTTTAAGTTTTCTGACAGAAGGATAATGCTTCAGGTCGAAATGGACGCTAGGCACGGCCACTTCTTTTAGCCGTGGCAATTTTTTTTTTCCTTCTGCCAGACGGTGGCCGTTACATTGTTGG